TGATTGATAAAGTATTTCCTAATGCAAAAATTTATATAAAGTAAAATAGGTTTTGATATTATTTTATTTTGATAATGATCTTGAATTTCTAAAACCTTAAGACTGATTAATTACATCATTTGAATTCCATTTGATTATAAACAATTATGTAAGTTAAAAGTTTCTCATTTTTTTCTATATATATTAATAAATATGACTAATATAGTTAATAATAAATACTTGTAATTCTGACTTTATTAATAATTAGTTAAATTCAAAATTGTGAATAAAATAGTAAAATTTCTTTATTTTTGAATTCTAATTCAAACAATAATAGTTGTGAATATAATTTGGTCTTTGTTCTTTAGGATTTTGATATTTAAAATGATTCCTTTTTAGCTGCTATTTTTTACATTAAACTTGATTATTACATAGAAGAACTGGATATCATTTTAATTTTACATATATATTAATTAATTTATTAATCAATATAGATTTAGGGTTTTATTAAAATTCAATCACCACTGTATCCAATCTATCTTAATACTATTTGAACTTCAACATTATATTTTAATTATAACTGATGCAGTGTTAATGCCTCCAAGCAATATCCTCTGTAATGCTAACCAAATATGTATAAATCGCAAGAAACTTCATCATCACTAATTATAAAAATATCAAATTACCTTTCAAATCCTAAATACTCCATCACCGCATCTTTTAATTATATTAATTTATCATGTATATTAAATTATCTTGAGAATTATCTTAAGAATTATCTTGGGAATTATCTTTTAATAGATCCATCTCTTATTACAAAATTAATAGACAGTTTATTGGAATTTGGAATTTCATTAAATACATATGAATTAATTTAGTCTTATTTTTTATTTTTTTATTAATATTGATTATTGATTTATTATTATGGAGTTTGAAAATGTTGATTATTTATTGATTATTAGTCTTGATGCATTCCAGTGTGAGTATTTGAAAAATTTTAAGTATTGATGATTAAGTTGTCATTTTAGACATTTTCTAGTTCACTCTTTAAATCTAAATACATGCATTTTGATTTAGAATAACAATTCCAATTTTTCAAATCATTATCAATTCTACTTCATAAAATAACATTACTTTAAAGAGGTCTTTATGTATTCAAATAATTCCTCAACTGAAATAGATTAGTCAGCTTCCAAATATAAATCTTGATTCTGTGGCTATAGGATTACTTTGAACCTATTTTTCATAATAAATTAAATAATATTTTATCATTTTATATATTGATAATTTACAATAATTATTGTAAAATAAACTATATATAAGTTAATTTTATCTGTTCAATTTATATTTTATTATTATAATATGTTCAAATGTCAAAAATATATAAAATTGCTTCAAAAATTAAGTAATAAATTAATTAATTATTAGCTGCAGTTTATTAAATATGCTCATAAATATAAGAGAAAACCTTAAAACAATACTAATAAGTATTATTAATAATAAAATATAACTAATAGATATACTTTAACAAATAGTTTGAAATCAAATGTCAATTTGATAAAATAAAATATATCTAAAAAAGATTAAAAATAATAATTTTTATACATTAAATATACTTCTTAAAGGTCTTACCTAATTATCCTTCTTACCACATAGTAAAATTACATTAAATAGGAATATTAGTAAAAGGTTAACAATAAAATCAAAAAGAATTTCATAATATTGTTGAAATTTAAGGAATGATATTTTAAATCCTTAAAATTGTATTAAATTGCAACTCTGTATCTATATTAAATAAATAAAATAGATTTCTTAATTAATACATAATCTACTGATAATAAGAATTACTTTAAGGAATTTAAGTTCCCTTAAACACTACAATTTGCAGGTTTAAAAAAATCTTCCTAGTATTTTTTGTTTAAATAAGGTTTAATTAACAATAGATTAATGAAAAGATTTAAAGTAAGCTTATGAATTAAGTCTATTGAGTTTATTATTTGTAAAATTATTCTTATCTAGAAGAATATTTTAATTATTATTTTAAGTCATTTCTACCAAGTTCACTTTCCAATAATATATTTAATTTGAAATAATGACTAAAATCATAATAAATATTTTAATTACTAATTACAGTGAATTATTTTGTTCAATAGAAGAATTAAACTAGTTAAATTTTAGATTCTTAATAATAAACAAGAAAGAATACAGAAGTAATTTAGAAAAATTTGAAGAAGTTTTAAAAGAAGACATGCAAAATCCTTTAGCATAGTGTTATTAATGAAAAATAAATAAAAATAAGGTGTTATAATACTATTCGATTGAAAAAGATAAAGAATGCATTTAAACTAGGAAAACCATTAATTATATAATTTTTCCTAAAATATGTTAATAATTGTACCATCCTATAAGATAATTTCCATTTCTTAATTTATAATAATATTTTTGAAATCAAATTACTTTAACTTAACCCTCATAGAATTAGCTATCAATTATTAATCATAAAAAGCGATTATAATCTTGAGTTCATTATGTTTTAATTAAAAACTAAATAAGGCCTGTGATTTAATACCACGTTTTTATTTCTAAGATTTAATTTCCTTTACTTTTTCATAAATTAATAATAATCAGATTTCTATAAAAAAATTTAATATTCTTTAACATCCATCTAAATTATAAAAGTAAATATTACAGTCTATATCTATCAAGATTATACTATTATAAAAATTTATGTTGTTTAATTAAAAATCAACTATTATTTTTTAAATATTAACAAACCAAATGGGTTCATTAATATTACTAAATTCAGAAATTTGCTATGATTTGATGAATCAATAGAATATTTTTATTTTTAATTAATTTGAGATATAACTAAGGTGATATTTATATTTCTAAAGCAATCCTTAAAAAGTCTTAACTTTGCATTTCTTTTAAACTAATCTATCATTACAATTCTTATTCTAATATTATTAAAGATCTTTATGTTTAATATTGTCATAATTAGTATTGAAACCAATAAAAAATAAAAATGATATTTTATATTGATTTTAATTATTATATCAATATTAAATAATAAGGATTAATTTACATTTTAATTATGATAAATTTTCTTTCGTTTAGTCACAGAATATTAAATAAGATATTATTTAATATTCTTTAAAGCTAACTCAATTTAAAATTTTTTTTTTTTAATCTAACTTGATTGATTGATAAAGTATTTCCTAATGCAAAAATTTATATAAAGTAAAATAGGTTTTGATATTATTTTATTTTGATAATGATCTTGAATTTCTAAAACCTTAAGACTGATTAATTACATCATTTGAATTCCATTTGATTATAAACAATTATGTAAGTTAAAAGTTTCTCATTTTTTTCTATATATATTAATAAATATGACTAATATAGTTAATAATAAATACTTGTAATTCTGACTTTATTTATTAATATAATTAGATAGTGATTGTAAACCTTTTAAAATGTTAGAGAAATTCTATATTTATAACTTTTAAGAATAAACTCGAAAGAATAAGAGAAGAGGTTAAGAATTAAGAGGAGTGATATTTTGAGCTTAAAATTCAAGAGAAGAAATGCTATCATTTAAGAGGAAAAAAGATAGACTTTATGATATCTTGTAATGCTATATTAGGTCTAGATTAAAATCATGTTTATTCTTTATGGAATGAAAGGATAAATTAAAATAATTAATAGTTATATTAAAACAGTTATTGCGAAAAGATATTATGAATAAGCTATTGCAATTACTGAATAATGTATAATAAATTTCCCCCAAAAAAGGTTATATTTATTTTATAAAATGTATTTATATTATTAATTATTAAAGGTTTTTTGTTAACATAACATAACATAGCATAACAATAATAGATGTAATTATATATAATTAAAAAAAATATAATAAGGCATTAGATTGTTATGATTAATCGATTTCACTAGATCAAAATAGTATTATTGCCTATAATAACAAAGGTAATATTTCAATAATAAAATTTTAGGGATTGGGGCTTTCAAAGATATAAAAAGATTTTGAATAGCAAAAGGGAATACTCATGAAGTTGTTCGTAATTACTTTCATTATTATCTAATTGACTTAAAATTTTGATCAATACAATTAATGAATTAAGTAAAAGAGTCAGAAATTCCTTAAAATTAAAAAAATGATTGCAAATAATATAGTATTATGCAAGTCCTAAATATAGACTCATTTGCTTCTAATTCAACTTTTGTAATTAGATGTGTAGTTTATAATATAAGAATTAAAATTACTGTAATACAAAATGAAAAGTTGAATAAAGTATATATTTTATTATATAGTCAATTAAAAAATTGGATTTCAGTAATAACTTTAAAAAATTAAACCTAAGAATTAAATCGATGTTTGATTATATAAATTTATAATAGAATATTAAATAGATGAATAGATAAATAATAATTATTTAATTATTTTAAAATAATTTTGAGTCATTTAAAAAATAAAAAATGATTAATATCAAAATGATTAGAAATTTCTCAAAGAGAACTGAATAAGAAATTATAAAAACATTGAAAATCCCAGATATGTACAAATATATGGAGGCTAAGATTTATGAAATTATACCGTTTTTTGAATTATTTTATTCTAACTATAAAGATTTAAGAAAAACAAATTATTATAAGAAATAATAAGAATGCTAAAGTGAAGCAAAATGTAATTTTATCTATCCAATAATTTCTTTTTATTATTATCTATTATAGTATGAAATCTTTTAAATTCATAAGTATTTATATTAATCTAAATCTTTTGGTAACTCTCTAATTTTATTTAACTTAAAGATTTACTAAAATATCTAATTAGATATAACCTCTAAGGCCAGATGCATTTATGGTAAGTGAGAGGATAAGTAGGCCTTAATATTATTATTGGCCGAATTTAATTTCATTCAGAATAACATATGGCTTTATCGTGTAACATACAATTCTATACACTTATTTCAAGGGGCTGTAGAAGATATTGTAAGGAAGTTATAATAGTCAAAATTTGTAACCTTTTGGTAATTACAGTATTTCCAAATTAGAATAATAAAACTCATCTATATGATAAAAAAAAATACAACTTAATTTTTGAAAGGGATTTTGAATAGTATTTTCTTTTAAGAATAATTTATCCATTTGTTTAAACATATAGTTATTGTTCAGACTGGATTTAGTAATGAGTCTTGGGATAGTTAGATCTTTTAGATAGTCAATTATTTTTTCGATGTAGAGGAAAAAATGCTTTAGATATTAAAAAATCAGAGAATTTGATTGTTGCTAAGTTATTGAGATTTTTAGCTCTTATTTAAAGAGACAATTTTTATTATGAAAAAATATTAATTCAGAATTAAAACAAATCATACAGAAAATTATAATTTGAATAACAACTTAGTTCATTCTATATTTTTAACTACTATATTGAAGAGAGCTTTGACTATCAAGCAATAATAAAAAATTGTGGGATTTTTATACCTTAATTTGAATAAAATAATCAAGAAGAAGTATATATTTCTTAAAAGAAGATTAAAGGAAGTTCAATTCCAGTGAATTAATGAATCAAGTTGTTAACTAAATTTTGAACATATATAAATTATGAAATTTAAATAAATTAATAAGTAACCAATCTCTATATGATTTGGAAAAGCCAACTTTTTTCTGTATAGTATTGCCACTAATGAGACAATAAGATTAAATTAAAATTCCAATAGTTAGATCATATTAATTTAATGATGAAATTCAAATAATTAATATTATATTGCAATTTTAAAAGAATATCTTAATTTTTATAATAATAAAATGTTGAATCATATAAAATATTAAAACCTAAATTTATAATTTAAAAAGATGCCTTAATATTGTTTAAATTCTTATTTATAGTTTTTTGAGTGAGATCCAGAAAAGTTTAACTAAGAAAAAAGTCAAAGATATTAATTAATAAAGAATTAACTATTATACTTAATAATATTAAAATGAATTTCTTTAAAAATTTTAGCCTTCAAATTAGATAAAATTGAATAAACTATTTATTTCAGAAGATAATTGAACCATTTTATCAAAGAATGTTATTTAAAGAGTGGATTAAATTACATTGTAATATTCACTCTAGTATCAAATGTAATTAAAATTTTTTTTGATTTTTTACATATATAGTTCAAATTATGATATCTGAATAGTTATATGGTATTTAAGATATTTTATAGATATATTTTATCAATAAAAAATATAAAATAATAATGATAAATAATAAAATGATTGAAGAAAAAATGTAATAGATAAGCTAATTTGTAGAAGTATAATATTGATTTTTTCATATATAGGATTCTTATGATAAAATACTAAATTCTATTGATCAAATTTTAATTCCTTATTTCGTTCCTAAATAGATAACAATTTCTTAAGCTTTTCATTAAATATCACAAGAGAGACTGGTATAATTTAATTTTGCAAATGAAGTTGTGGCAGAAATTACACCTTTAATTGATTAAATTGTACACATAAATAAGGAGAAATAACAAAAATTTGAGCTAGCCTAAATTACAAATGTTGAATTGCAAAAGACATTATAAGAGCTCAAAGAAAGAAAGAAGAATGATGTGAATAATTATGATCAACTTTATTAAGAATCTCATGCATTACTGTAATTAAAAGAACAAGAAATAGTATAATTAAATGATACTCAAAATCAAATTATAAAAGATCAATAGGAAACAATCAAAGAATTGCTAAAGTAAAAAGATGATTTCATGTTAGAAAATAATAAATTAAATGAATTAATAAAATAACAACAAGAAAACATAATTTAAAATTAGCAATTATAAACACCTATATTATTAAATTCTTTTACTTTTTCTGAAATTTATAAATAGCCTAGTTGTTAGGTATCATAAAATGGAAAGCTATTTTTTAATAAGAGTCTATTTTATTCATGTTTATGTGATTAACCCATCCCTAAATAAGGTAATGTAAAATTCGCTTATCTAATACATGAGATTGTTACAAATTAGACAATGGTTGGAATAGGGGCGAAAGAAATAATTTCTAAATCTGGGTATTCGAATATACATCTTCCAGGAAATGGGTAAAGATTATTTATTTTTAGTGCCTATCTTATAATGAGTAGTGGCTATTGTTTCAGTCATCATCAATAAGATAAATATCATGATTCTATTCCATTCACTTTTACTAACAATGATATTATAATTATAGAGGTGGACATTTAAAAACAATACATTAAATGGATAAAATAATCTACCAAAGAATTTTTTGTAAGCTTTGTATAATAATATAGCTTCTTGACATTGATCCAAATTATGAGTATTATCCATGTATTAATGGTACTGGAAAAGTAGAAATATTGAATGAAATAATAACATGAAATTATCAAATACAATAATAAATAGAAACATCTTCAAATTATAAAAATGTATGTTAATCTTCTGATTCTTTTCTATTATCTCAAATTTTTATTTATTAAATCTTTGCTGTAGCCTAAATATGGTTGAGTGCATACATCATCATTTTATTTAATCATACTGAGTAAAAAAATAAATCAGATAATAGATATTTTTAAGTTTATTCATGTAAATTATTGTTAAAAATTAGAGGATAGAAGTGGTATAGAAGAGCAAATCCTAATAAAAAAGACTGAAAGTATTCTTATAAGCTAATAATAGGAACATAATTCTTGATTTTTGATAATATTCTATCATTCTAAAGAATTGACTAACACTTTTAGAGAATACATTTCTAAAAATTTATTAATTCTAGATATCCCTTATTGAATTAATTTAGATAAATTAAATTCATTCAATATTTCATATCATTATTTAATTATAAATGTAACTATGTAATTGATTTCTAATTTTAATAATTAGATGAAAAATATTTCAATTTATTAGTTAACACATTTTTACAATTAAAGAATATTTACTAATTAGTTTATTTTTTCCTTGAATATTTAAAGAGTCTAAGGATACTCTGCTTTTTTTTCTAGTATTAACTACCAAACAATTACTAACTCTTTGGATAGTATTCTAACTTTTAATTTTCCGGAATTTAATGACAAATTTATCTTTTTAATATAAAGCAATTCTTTAGGATAAAAAGATTATGACTCTTGTCCAAAAAATAGGCATAAAATATAGTTAAATCTTATTTAATCAACAATTATAAAGTTGAAAAAGACATTATTGTCCCTCTGCCTAACATTAAAGACTTGTTATTTACTTTCCTGAAGCTCAAAAACACAAAAATAGTATTCTATATATACAAATTTTATGGAGTCCAATTAATTGTGATTTTCTTCATCTTATTCTATAATCATGCAGTAAAATAATAAAAGAAAATTGTAAAATTGTTATAATATTCTCTTAATTATCAAGATTGTTTCCTTAATTATTAATATTTGGAAAATCTAAAGTTCTTAGAAATTAAATTTAAAGATAATAAAGTAAATTATTAATTCTGAATTATGAAAAATAAAACTATATTTTAGATCTATTTATTATGATAATATTATTAATTAAATAACTAATGGATTTGAATATTAAATTTTAAAGGAGACCAATATATTACCTAAAATTTTAAATTTATGAAAATCTGATTTTTATAAAATTTTGGAATTATTTTAACATAATTTATTAACATTTCCTTTGCCATAAAATTAAATATTAGAATTCTTTTTCTTTTCTTATTTATTCTTAAGGACTAACCCATATTAATTTTAAATTATATTCTTTAGCTTAATTGATAAAACAAGTTGTCACAACATTCAAAATAGANTATCTCAAATTTTTATTTATTAAATCTTTGCTGTAGCCTAAATATGGTTGAGTGCATACATCATCATTTTATTTAATCATACTGAGTAAAAAAATAAATCAGATAATAGATATTTTTAAGTTTATTCATGTAAATTATTGTTAAAAATTAGAGGATAGAAGTGGTATAGAAGAGCAAATCCTAATAAAAAAGACTGAAAGTATTCTTATAAGCTAATAATAGGAACATAATTCTTGATTTTTGATAATATTCTATCATTCTAAAGAATTGACTAACACTTTTAGAGAATACATTTCTAAAAATTTATTAATTCTAGATATCCCTTATTGAATTAATTTAGATAAATTAAATTCATTCAATATTTCATATCATTATTTAATTATAAATGTAACTATAGAAAATACAAAAAGTAAATTAATAATTTTATATTTAATTTAAGATATTATATTAAATTTATTCTCGAATCATTCAAAATAGTATTATTCTTTATTTCAATAAATTTATTTGACATTAAATTTAGAAAAATTTGTTTAATTTTTTATATGTAATTGATTTCTAATTTTAATAATTAGATGAAAAATATTTCAATTTATTAGTTAACACATTTTTACAATTAAAGAATATTTACTAATTAGTTTATTTTTTCCTTGAATATTTAAAGAGTCTAAGGATACTCTGCTTTTTTTTCTAGTATTAACTACCAAACAATTACTAACTCTTTGGATAGTATTCTAACTTTTAATTTTCCGGAATTTAATGACAAATTTATCTTTTTAATATAAAGCAATTCTTTAGGATAAAAAGATTATGACTCTTGTCCAAAAAATAGGCATAAAATATAGTTAAATCTTATTTAATCAACAATTATAAAGTTGAAAAAGACATTATTGTCCCTCTGCCTAACATTAAAGACTTGTTATTTACTTTCCTGAAGCTCAAAAACACAAAAATAGTATTCTATATATACAAATTTTATGGAGTCCAATTAATTGTGATTTTCTTCATCTTATTCTATAATCATGCAGTAAAATAATAAAAGAAAATTGTAAAATTGTTATAATATTCTCTTAATTATCAAGATTGTTTCCTTAATTATTAATATTTGGAAAATCTAAAGTTCTTAGAAATTAAATTTAAAGATAATAAAGTAAATTATTAATTCTGAATTATGAAAAATAAAACTATATTTTAGATCTATTTATTATGATAATATTATTAATTAAATAACTAATGGATTTGAATATTAAATTTTAAAGGAGACCAATATATTACCTAAAATTTTAAATTTATGAAAATCTGATTTTTATAAAATTTTGGAATTATTTTAACATAATTTATTAACATTTCCTTTGCCATAAAATTAAATATTAGAATTCTTTTTCTTTTCTTATTTATTCTTAAGGACTAACCCATATTAATTTTAAATTATATTCTTTAGCTTAATTGATAAAACAAGTTGTCACAACATTCAAAATAGAACTATTACATACAATAGCTAAATCATCTGCATAATCTATAAGAAACATCTAAGAGTATTAAATTAATTTCTTTTTATCTCTATTTAATTTTTACACTTTAAAAACCATTCATATCTTAAATCAATAAATTAAGGAAAGGTGTTAATATTGATCCTTGACGTACTCTTTCCAAATTATGTCATAAATTTAAATAGATTTATAAATACTTTTCAATATATCTAAATCTATTTCTGAAAATATTTGAAGTATGTTCTTAATTTCTTGATATTTAAAACAATCTATCTCTATTTCAAAATATATCAGCATTTCTAGGTCAAATAAAATAACTGATTTTGACTATTAATATTTCTTGTTATTAAATTTTCTATTAATTTTACTAATGTATGATAAACCATTCTACTCTGTATATTTGAAGTTTAAATATATAATACAATCACAAATGAATTAGAGTGTATATCAATAAAAAATTAATTGATCAAATTATTTTAAAGAAAATGATATAAAATATATTAAAATGAATTTTTTTAAAAACTATAAATATCAACTACATAAAAAATACCATTTTTAATATTATTAATAGTTAGAGATTTTAATTCAAAAATTTAACTTAATATACTACTATATTAGAGACCATTAAATCTATTATAATCATTTAATTCTTAAAGTTCTTGGATTCTCTTTATTCATATTTATAATTTTATATTTCATTACTTTTTTGGACTCAAATAAACAAAATATTTAATCAAAATTTATCATCATAATATTAATTTGCAATATTATTTGATATAAATAATTTAATGTAATAAACTTATCTTTTATTCACTTCTATTATCTAAATTGTAGGTAATATTAACCCTGAGAACTACTATATACTGTTTTTTTACAGAATACAGTAATTCTCATAATTTTAGTTATTTAAGTTCATAACTAACTTTAAGAAATAAACATAAATATATTTAAGTTTATTTCTATGAGTTATATATTATTAACTTTTCTTGTACATAAGAATACTTTTTCAATTTGAGTACTTATAGGTTATATTAAGGATAAAAATACTAATTTTTCTTTATTATTGCTCCACAAATTATATAGTATTTATTAAGAATATTAAATATTTTAAGTACTTACTCATTGAGAATCTCTAAATTTTAAATTTTATTCATTCTAAATTGATAAATTAAAAATATGAAAATGAGTAATATGAAAATTATGAATAAAATACATTTTATAATCTGTGAAACATCTATGATAAACAAATAAGTTAGTAAAATATGTTTTATCTTGATCTAAATGTTATCTAAAAAATGGATATATAAAATTTATTGAAAAAACTCTTGCTTACTCTATTATTACTCTTTCATTTTATATATTTTAATTGATTGAAATTTTGTACAAATAATTTATTTAATAATCATCTTACAGATGTTATCTCTGCTTTTATTTCTTACAATTTCTAATTCTTAGATCAAATGCTAAATATAACTATATGAGAATTTTAACGATCTAAAAATAATAAATTTTAATGATTGGAAATGCTAAAATTCACAGAACACAGAAGTTTACTAATGTTTAAGTGGAATGGATTTAATAAAGGTTGATAAGAGATGTTCGGAAATTACTTATGAAATTCAGGTTATATTGCCTCATTATTTAGTATAATTATACATAGATGTATATTGTTATGGTGGTTTAGATTATGATGACAATCTTGCTATTATAATAGATTAAACCGAAATTTGGCAAACAGATACTTAATTTCTTCCATTGAGATATAAACCATTAGGAGAATCTCATCAATGCTCTTAATATGATCAAACTAAAAATTATTAAATACGCAAGACGGTTTAAAAGGAGATTCCCCATTTTACATAAACTCTAAAAATATAATTAAAAAGCACAATATCTGGAGATTTCACTGACGAATCTTATCTATTCAGAAATTTATAGATATTATATAATTAATGTTACAAGACTTGCAAAACTTGTAAGGATGCATAAAAAGATGGATGCAATTCATGCTATGATGACATTACTATAATTTCTGGAACTTGCATGTCTTGCTAAGACAAGATTAATTTGAATTTTCTATAAATTTCANACCCCAAACCCAACCCCAAACCCAACCCAACCCCAACCCCAACCCCAAACCCAAACCCAAACCCAAACCCGAACCCAAACCCTTAGGGGATGACCCTAATTATGACATCATCAGAAATAATAATTAAATTTTTTAAGATTACTTAATTTAAATTTTTGTTTTATTAAATTACAAAATTAGTTTATTCATACTTAATTATTCTAGAATCCCAAAAGTTAATGCTAACAATTATAAGTGAATTTCATGGAAGACCTAAAAGGTAATTTAAAAGTAATAGGCCAAAGTCTTATTAAAAAGAACCACTTAAAATTAGATATTTTTTAGTTTAAATATAAAATTATCAATTTATTTATAAATTTTTCAGTTGTTATTATTATTAACTTTTCTTGTACATAAGAATACTTTTTCAATTTGAGTACTTATAGGTTATATTAAGGATAAAAATACTAATTTTTCTTTATTATTGCTCCACAAATTATATAGTATTTATTAAGAATATTAAATATTTTAAGTACTTACTCATTGAGAATCTCTAAATTTTAAATTTTATTCATTCTAAATTGATAAATTAAAAATATGAAAATGAGTAATATGAAAATTATGAATAAAATACATTTTATAATCTGTGAAACATCTATGATAAACAAATAAGTTAGTAAAATATGTTTTATCTTGATCTAAATGTTATCTAAAAAATGGATATATAAAATTTATTGAAAAAACTCTTGCTTACTCTATTATTACTCTTTCATTTTATATATTTTAATTGATTGAAATTTTGTACAAATAATTTATTTAATAATCATCTTACAGATGTTATCTCTGCTTTTATTTCTTACAATTTCTAATTCTTAGATCAAATGCTAAATATAACTATATGAGAATTTTAACGATCTAAAAATAATAAATTTTAATGATTGGAAATGCTAAAATTCACAGAACACAGAAGTTTACTAATGTTTAAGTGGAATGGATTTAATAAAGGTTGATAAGAGATGTTCGGAAATTACTTATGAAATTCAGGTTATATTGCCTCATTATTTAGTATAATTATACATAGATGTATATTGTTATGGTGGTTTAGATTATGATGACAATCTTGCTATTATAATAGATTAAACCGAAATTTGGCAAACAGATACTTAATTTCTTCCATTGAGATATAAACCATTAGGAGAATCTCATCAATGCTCTTAATATGATCAAACTAAAAATTATTAAATACGCAAGACGGTTTAAAAGGAGATTCCCCATTTTACATAAACTCTAAAAATATAATTAAAAAGCACAATATCTGGAGATTTCACTGACGAATCTTATCTATTCAGAAATTTATAGATATTATATAATTAATGTTACAAGACTTGCAAAACTTGTAAGGATGCATAAAAAGATGGATGCAATTCATGCTATGATGACATTACTATAATTTCTGGAACTTGCATGTCTTGCTAAGACAAGATTAATTTGAATTTTCTATAAATTTCATAAGGATGTGTTGTTTAATGTCCAGATGAATATGATTATGATTTAGATAAAGTATGTTATAAGAATTAAAGTATAATTATTGTTATTTTAATAGAATTGAGAACTTATGATAATTCACTTTAAACAATAAGTTAAGATGGATATTAGGTTTTTGGTTATTTAGATACATCTACCATATTATTGAGAATAACAATAACAATATAATTAATGGATAAAAATTATGTAAATGTTTTTATAAACGGAGAGAAAATTGCTTAGATAAATAAATACGGAATAAAATCAGAACCAGGATCAAAATCAAATAATTTGAGAAGATTAAATAATGAAATTATGGTAGAAATTAATAAACCAATAAGTAAAGATACTTTTAATATTGAAATTGTGAAATATCATCATTAATCTACTACTCCAATTATTAAGATATAATATTTAGTTTGTACATTGAATTGTTAATTATGTAAAAATAAAAATACTTGTTAAGTTTGTAAAGATAATTATAAATTATATAATGGATTATGCTTTAATAATTGTCCAGATTACACTGAATAATCAGGTCAATTTTGTATTATTCTATAGGATATTGTGAATAAGAATGATGATTAATAGGAAGTATTTTTAGTGAAAGAATTTTATGATCTTTCAACTAGTAAACAAAGAATAAATGAATTATTTACATTAGTTTGTTTAGATAGCAGTAGAAATAATAAATATAATTTTTAAAAAGGAAATGATATTTACTTCTCATATTTTCAGAATAAAAGAATATTTGGAGGACCATATGTTTGGGTAAATGCTTAGTTTAAATTTCATCTATTACTAGAGAACATAAAATAAATTGTTTATGTTAAATTTGAAATAATTTTAGGTGATGAAGAAATGTCTAGAATATAATTTCATTATACAATTAATTAACAATCGAAGAAAACACACACAATCAATACTAATTAAAATTTAAAGTAAGATTAAAATTGGAAAGATGATTATAATACTGAAATAATATTTGTAAGAGAAGAAATTGATTATGAAAATAGTTAAAATTAAGAATTAAACATATTATTTGAATGTGATAATAATTATGATTAAGCTAATTCAACATTTTGTGGAATCAAAAATCTGTTTATTACAGTTTTAAAACCTATATAAGATTATATTGAAATATTTGATTAAGAAGATTAGAATGATAACCTAGATATAAGAGACTTAGATTGGTTATTTAATATATAAATATGTGGTGATGGAATAACTTCTGTAGATGAGGATTGTGATGATGGAAATCTGATTCCATTTGATGGGTGTTTTAATTGTAAATATTCATGTGAATAATTATGTTAATTTTGTGTTAAAGGCGAATGCTTAGAAATGTTAGAATTACAATCAAGTTAAAAATTACCAAGTCTTTATAATATATTTGATAAATCTCTAGAATTATAATAAGATTAATTAATAAATTGTGAAATTATTGTATAAGGATTATGTTTATAATGTAAGAATGGATATTATGTGAATTCAATTAATAATTTATGTGAAACAATTTGTGGAGATTAAATAATTTAAGGACAAGAGTAATGTGATGATGGTAACCTTGATAATTATGATGGTTGTTCAGATTGTTAATTAATTTAGTATGAGAATTGTGATATATAATAAACATGTGCATTCTGTTATTAAGGTAAATGTCTAAAATGTTATGATGGATTTTCCTTAGAAAATTATAAATGTATATCAATTTGTGGAGATGGATTAATTAATAAATAAGAAGAAGAATGTGATAATCCAATTGAATAAGGATGTAATAATTGTCAAATCTAAAAAGGATATGTTTGTCATGGTTAAACTTATTCTATTTGTAAGACTTGTGGAATATATTGTAAAGATTGTTTAAGTATAAATTCATTGGATCTTATATGTCTTGATTGTATGCCAGGATTTTATCCTATCTTAGATTAATGTTTTTAATGTGATAATAATTGTATAACTTGTAAAGGCTAATCAAATTTATGTACATCATGTTACAGAAATGATTGTGAGTAATGTGAATCAATTCCTGGTTATTATACTGATTTCTAAAATAAAATTTGTATTAACTTATGTGGAGATGGAATTGTTGTTAAAGAACAAGAAAATTGTGATGATGGAAATTTAGAAAATGGAGATGGTTGTGACTCTGAATGCAGAATTGAATTATAAGAAAATTTTATTGATAAACTATAAATTTGGCAATTTAACTAAAATGGTACTTATGATCTCTACCTTAATGATTCAGAATATAATTTAATATTAAATTGTGTAGATCCTAAAATTATAATTGATGATATGTAAACATAAGATTTTTCATATAACATTTAAGCTTAAAATAATACATGCAACATTCAATTTAAATTCTTTAAATCTATTTTTAAATATAATACTATTCATGTGACTCTTACTGTTTCATTTTAAACAAATAGATTACTTTTGGAGAAAAATATTTAAGAAATACAATTCAATATCCATCCTTAAGAATAAATCATATTAGGCGAGAATGAAAAAAAGTTGGGAGAATAAATATAAAATGCTTAAACAGCGTTTAATTTTATTTTTCTAACATTGATTCCTATTTCAATAATATTGAACGTTTATGATTATTTGTGGGCAGTACTAGAAATATTAAGCTGGGTAAATAATTTTTATTTTTTAAATGTTCATTATCCGTTTAATGTAGAAATGTTCTTTTTAAATTCTGATTGGTCATCTATTATTACTTTTCCTACATATTAAGGGTTGAATTAACCTGATTGTTCATATTACTTTTAAGCACCTTAGAAATTTTAAAATAAGGGAATAGATCCATTATTCTTTAATAATATTTAGATTCCATTCATTTTCATTTTCATTACTTTCATCTTATATGCAATTAATTTCTTATTATTATATTTCTTTAAGGCATTAAATCAATTAAAAAAAATAAAACAAATCAAAATCAATCATAAACACTTTAGTATTTTTAATTTGTAAGCTATTAAAAAAACTTAACATAGTTTAGTTTTATAGCAATAAAATGAGTAAAAAATATAAGTTAATAATATATTAATAAAGATAATAAGTTTTTTTATTATTACGGATAATAAATTGAAAAATAAGTTAAAATAAACTCTTTCATTATGTTTACTAGATATTACCCTAGCAATTATGTTATAAATTACTTTTTCAAATAATAATTAAAATATCATCGTTGGTTTAAATTCATTTTTTGCTATATTTTCTATTAATATCATTTTGTTTTAGCTTTATCAATAATACAAAACACTAAACCTACATATATTGCTTGCAGAAAATAAATAATACAAAGAATAATTTGAAATTTATTATGAAAATATTAATACCAAAGAATAATTTGGGTATTATTTTAAGTTTTTTGGATTGATTAGAAAGATTTTATACATCTTTTTTATGGTCTATTATTATTATACACCTATTGTTTAAACATCATTATGTTTTATTTCTACTTCAATTGGAGTAATGTTTATTCTATATTAAAATCCATATAATACAAAAAAGGAATTTTATTCTTAGCTTATTTCAGAATTAAGTTTAAGTTTAATCTTATTAATTACAGTGTTATTTTCAATAAATGATACAAAATAGATAATTTTTATACAGGAAAATACTGTAAACTTAGGTTGGGCTGTTATATCATTTGTTCTATTAGCAATCTTTGTTTAAGTATTTGGATTAACTTATGGATTGATTACAAATATCTACTAAATAATTTTGAAAATTAAAAATTATATCTACAGTTTAAACAATAATAAAATTGAATAAGATAATTAAATCCATGGCCTTGAAGATATCTAAAATAAATCAAATTTAAATTAAATCGATGAAAATTAAATAAAAGAATAGAAAATAATAAGAATAAAAGAAAACTAATTATAAATAATTGATTTATGAAATAATATTTAATTATTTAAATAGATTTAGATGGCTTATTATTTATTCGAATTACATTTTTATTAATTGATTTATAAGTATTTAAAAAAGAAATCAAATAATTTATTGGATTTAGCATGTTTATAAAATCTTTTTTTTATTATATAGTTATTAATATGACATTTTAAATCTAAAAATATAGTATTTATTTTTTATCAAAAGCTCTCTCTCAAATTTTTGGCATAATTATAAAAGTTATTTCATAATTTAGTTTTATACTTTAAATTTATATTTATAATGTTTATTTATTTGACAATAATAATACAATTTATTTAGAATTATAGATTTTTAATCAAGTAAATAATTTCCTAAATTTATGAGAAATATATTTTCTCAATTATATTCAATACTTTTCTATTTTTAATTGCATAAAATAAATAATTGATTTTCATATTAAAATACTTATATCTAAATATTTAAATATTTAATATCCATTAAGATAATTTTTAATAATATTAATAATTTTAGAGCATATTATTTTGATTATATTCATTGCAATCAAAATAAAATATTTTCTGTTCTATTTTTATTTTAACGAAAGAGTATTAGAAAATTATACTTTTCTATTTATTTATATTTCTACAATAAACTTTGGCATAAAGTTATTCATCAATTTATTAAAATTAGAGTAATAAGGATTACTTCAAAGAAAAACGTAGAAAATATAAAAAATTTTCTAATTTAGTTAAGAAAATTTGAATATATGTAATTTTTTAGCTCTTCTCTGAATATTGAATAGGATTCTAATAAATAATCAAGTTTGTTTTTAGAAGACAAAAATAACATATTTCTAAATTTCATTAAAAAGTATAAAAATTTTTTGGATTATTTTAAAGTTTTTTCAAGCTTCTTTTTATCTTTCAAGTATAAATTTACTTGAATGAATGATAATTTTTTTAGTTTTAATTTTTAATTTATTTAGACAAATAAATATATTACTTGAATATGAGAAAATAATTTTAAACATTCATAATTTAAAATGGTGAAATTTATAAGACCTGAAATCATATGAAAATGTAATCAAAGCCATCAATCTGACTAAAATATCTAATCTATTAAGTGAAAATAAAGAAAATTTTAGAATCTAAATTGATTAATTCAAAAATACTCTATAATAGTGATACTTTTGAAAAGTCAATAAAAGAATATAATTGGACTTAAAAATCATCAAAAGTTACTTCCCTAATTTGATCACAATAAATAAGACATCTTTTAGAATTAATAAAGATTTAATGAACACAGAAATTTAGGGAATTCCAGATTTGTTTTAAACTTTATGAATAAATCCTATATAAAATGATTGATTTGTTTTAAATAAAAGAAGAATGGTTTTGTGGCACTGAAAACTATTTTAATTACAAATCTGATGTGAGAAAGTAGTACTGATATTTAGGGTTTATGAATATTTAAAACTTAATTAGAATTAAGATCTTATCATATCAGGAAGTTATTATCTCAATAATAACACACAAGGGTAAAGTATATCAATGGTTTCGTAATAGATATAAAAGGTAAGATTAATAAAGAATAAAAATAAATCAAAATCTCATATGGAAAGTAGGAGTGTGCTGAAATATAAGTTTTTAGAGTTAATTGTAAAGTATTTTCAAAAATTAATAATTGATTTTTTTCTTAATAAGATTTAAAGATAATTATGAATCTATTAAATAGAAAAACAAAAAAATTTATAAAGATTGAAATATCTACCCAAATTTGGGAAATTTGAATAATTAAAAAGTTATAACAGAAGAATAAAAATTAATCTATTTAAGATATTTTTTTATTTTAGAATTGATCAATATAGATTTAAAATATTGATTAGATTTAAAATTCTAATCATAATATTATCAGACTATGANAAATTTACTTGAATGAATGATAATTTTTTTAGTTTTAATTTTTAATTTATTTAGACAAATAAATATATTACTTGAATATGAGAAAATAATTTTAAACATTCATAATTTAAAATGGTGAAATTTATAAGACCTGAAATCATATGAAAATGTAATCAAAGCCATCAATCTGACTAAAATATCTAATCTATTAAGTGAAAATAAAGAAAATTTTAGAATCTAAATTGATTAATTCAAAAATACTCTATAATAGTGATACTTTTGAAAAGTCAATAAAAGAATATAATTGGACTTAAAAATCATCAAAAGTTACTTCCCTAATTTGATCACAATAAATAAGACATCTTTTAGAATTAATAAAGATTTAATGAACACAGAAATTTAGGGAATTCCAGATTTGTTTTAAACTTTATGAATAAATCCTATATAAAATGATTGATTTGTTTTAAATAAAAGAAGAATGGTTTTGTGGCACTGAAAACTATTTTAATTACAAATCTGATGTGAGAAAGTAGTACTGATATTTAGGGTTTATGAATATTTAAAACTTAATTAGAATTAAGATCTTATCATATCAGGAAGTTATTATCTCAATAATAACACACAAGGGTAAAGTATATCAATGGTTTCGTAATAGATATAAAAGGTAAGATTAATAAAGAATAAAAATAAATCAAAATCTCATATGGAAAGTAGGAGTGTGCTGAAATATAAGTTTTTAGAGTTAATTGTAAAGTATTTTCAAAAATTAATAATTGATTTTTTTCTTAATAAGATTTAAAGATAATTATGAATCTATTAAATAGAAAAACAAAAAAATTTATAAAGATTGAAATATCTACCCAAATTTGGGAAATTTGAATAATTAAAAAGTTATAACAGAAGAATAAAAATTAATCTATTTAAGATATTTTTTTATTTTAGAATTGATCAATATAGATTTAAAATATTGATTAGATTTAAAATTCTAATCATAATATTATCAGACTATGAAGGAAATCTTAGATTCCTTGTATTTTAATGATATTTTATTAATTATAAGTATTTTAATAATATATTTTTATCATTTCAATTAAAATAATTATATGTGGTTTAACAGTATTAATCTATTGATTAATTCTTTTTTTTATCTCTATTATATAGGTTATAATATCAAAATTAGATTAGATTAATTATATGTGTAATAATTTTTGGCAATTTCAACGGCCAAGCTAAGGATTAATTCTAATGATATCATTGTTTAGTCACTTGCTTTTATTGATAAAATCCATAATTAGCATAGAATTAACATTTTTTAGTATCGATAAATTAGGTATATTAGATTTTAATTTAGTTTGATTAATCATTTCTATTTGATTGGGAAAATATATAATAATATAATTGATTAATAAATTATAAAATGACAATATTGATATGTTGCAGGAACAATCAAAATAAAAATATAATTTTGTCTCTACATGTAGTTCTTACTAAGTTATATTTGTATTGTATTTATGCAAGCATCTTTTAATCGTCATGCTGATTTATAAGCTTTTGAAACATAAATGTTTAATTCTATTAATATAAAAAATTAAAATAAATTCTCTGTGTATTGGTTCCAAAAGATTTAATGGTAGCTTTGAATTCTTAAATTTTTAAGATTTATTTGTTCTATAAGTTTATAAGTTGATATAAAATCTCTTTTAATTTAGTAATTTCAACATTCTTATTTATCAGCAACTATAGAGATTTCATTAAAAAAATGAAAAATCTGTTGAATGATTTAAGCAACAGTACCAATTTAACAGTTTAATTTCTCAAAAATCTTTAGAAATTTTATTCCTAAAACTAATGAATAATATTCTTAAACTTTGCCATATAACAAATTTTTGGATTAAAAAATGTCTTAATTTTAAAGTAGGCAGTTATTCTTCTTTCTCTAATAATTTTAGTATTATTAACATTTAAGAATTTGAATTTAAGTATTTTAAATAATCTAATTGTAAAATTATCAATCTATAAATTGTCTTTTTTTTATTCAATTATAATTATATTTATTGTTTTAATATAAAATTAATCATCTTTTTAACTTATTAGAACTTTAAATTTTCAGTTTTTATAAGGTTTCTTGTTAATATTACCTAAATTGATATTATTATAATATACTATGCCTTAGATTTAATTTAGTCATAACTTGGTATGTTATAATTTTAGGTTTATCTTATTTAGTTGATCCTATTGTCCATTGCTTAAATTTAAGGGAAGATTTTTTATAAAACTTCTTCATTAAAATTTACTTTTAATTGGGTGGGTTTTAATTCCATATTGTATATTTGTACATTCTCACTTAAGCAAATATTCTCATAATATTGAATATACTTATCAATTTCCTTATCACATTTAGTAGGGCATACACTTCGGATATTTTTTTTTATATCATTTTTATTTTTTTTTAAAAATGATATCAGATCAGAATTTTTTTAATTCTTTGATAAATCATAATGGATAGAATTAGATAGATTCATTTGTGTAATTAGTTTATTTTCACAAATTGAAACTAGAATGTTTTGAGGATCAGTTTTGAATTATTCTTTTACTATTATAAATTAATATAAGAGATTAAGAAAGTTTTAAAAGTCTTCATAAATATAGAATAATATTAAGGCTTATTCTTCTTGTTAATTAAATTGCTTCTGCTATTATTGTTATTATTGATAATGGTAATTAACATTTTGTTGATGATTATTATTAGAAACAACAAAATTTGAGTTATTAGCAATATTTTTCACATTATTACTCATTAAGGTATTTATTAAAATTAAAGAATGCTTATGTATTAGTCTATAAAATAATAGAATAAAATAAAATATTCTATTACCTATATTGATTATAAAAATTAAATTTAACGATTAATTTTTTTTTAAATAGTGAATAGAAAATCAATAATATCAAAAATATTCATCAATTAAATTATTTGATAAATTGTAATAATAAATTATTGCTTATTATTCTTGATTTTAACTTTAATTTTGCATTAGGATACTTCATGATAAGTAAGAATATCAGAGTGAAAATAGAACATACTTTTTTGTAAACTCTTCTTTACTGTTATTTTTCCTCATTTTA